ACGGTCGTGGTCGGGTGGTGTTGTGTCGTTTTATGTACATTCGTTTCAGTCGCGTATCTTGTTTCTGACTTAATTTCTACTACTATTTTATGATGCATCTTTTTATTGCTGTTGTTGCATGAATATTGTTGGCCGCTGGCCCGTTGTTGTCGTTGTTGTAAAATAACCTCTGTGTCGTGTAGCTGGTATCGTCAATGGCTGCTGATTCCGATGATTCTCTCTTGGTTTTATTGTCTATTTTGCCCTATAACACCGATTTGCTCCTTCTACTGGCCACACCATAGAAATACATTTAAAATTAAAATAAAACTACATACAAATGAACATAAAAAAAAACGCGATTGAAAAAAGATAATATCGACATATTCACATTTGCACTTGGGTGTTGGCAATTAAAAAATCATTTCGGAATTAATTCATACTCGAAGTACAAACGAATGTATACACTTGCATTGCCGAACAAATAAGCCAATATGTATAGACGAACTAATAGCAGCGAAAGAAATTTGTAATGAAAATGTTTTCCACAATAATCGCCAGATCAATACCTATAATATTCGAACTTACTTCAAGTACATATTCCCAAATCGACTAATGTGAGTAAAATTCTTAAAACAAAAATTTTTAGTAGATACATACATGTGTACATATGTACATATGTACAAGTTTGTTCATTTTTTTTCTTGGTATGTACATACATATATCTGTTAATTTTTAGCTTGACTGAAAATCGCTATCTAAAGGTGAAAAGGTGCCAAGTCCATTTTTCCAAAATTAAGTTTTTTGATGCGGAATGGCATGTAATACGAAACTACATCGATTTTTCGTCTCTCCTGAACAATTTCAAAAAATGGACTTGGCACGTTTTCACCCAAAGTGACGATATGTAAATATATCGTCTATAAATACATACAAGTGTACAAGGGCTGCTGATTTGACCCGAGTAGGAAAACCTGTAAGAATCTTCCACACGATATGGTAAAAAAATTATATTATCAGCCCAATTATGAATACTCCCGGGGTGTTTGTTCTCCGGGAATTCGGTTCTCCCGAGAAAGAAATCTTCCAATTATTAAATTTAAAGTGGTGCTGGGCATCACCTTGCCCGCGGGCAAAGCTCTTTTTTACCTTCCTTTTATTAGCTCGGGATGTAACTATGTAATATTGATGCGCCTAAAAGATGCTGCGATTTCTATTCTCAAGTTACATACCTGATGACAGTACGAATGGCAATTATAATAGGGAGGTTTTAGTTTTTTAAACTAGCATTTTATTAAGCTCACTATACTAAATGTGCGCAAAGCTTGAAAGAGCTTTGCTCACGGGAAAGGCAGCGCCCATCACTGTTCTAGAGCCTTTTTTTTTATTATTACTTTCTTTTGTTTTTTATTTTTATTTTTAAAATCTTTTGTTATGTTTCACCTGTGTGTAATCAAATATTCCAATCAATTTTTAACCGACTTCCCGATTAGCTAAAAACTTAAAACTCCAAACTTGGTGCAGAATCTGATGACAATGCAATATGAAAGATGAATTGATCCGCCAGGTGGCACGGGTGTCGTGATATTTGAAAACCCCGTATTTACGGAACGCTATGATTCAAATTTGGATTGTATATTGCCTACATGAAAAGGATTTATTTATGCACCGATTTATTTCTTATTTAGAACGTATATTATCAACTCAAATGGAAAGAAAGAAATCCCCCAAATATTGAGCCGTTAGTGTGTCCGGGGGTCGACTTTTTTTATAACTAATAAAAGCTTGTCGAAAAAAAATTTTTTTTATATTACTTGTTTATTAGATTTGTTTTAACTTTTCTTCACAAAATATAGGCCGTTATTATGAGTTGCATTCGATTTTCGATCTTAACGACAGATATTGGTCGGACAGATTCCAAGCTTGTGCAGATGACCTGTTAATCTGCAATGTCCAGTGAGGATGCCTGTAATTATTCGAAGTTTATTTTTGGGAGGTTTATTAAACGTCTATATCTTTTTTTATTATACCCCCCCCGTAAACTTTTAGCTTGTCGAAGTCCTGTTGTACTATGCTAGTGCTCTTCCCTCCTATCTAGTGGTCCTTTCCTAATCCACTCCGTGATTGAATTTGGACCTATTGCCAGGAGTGGCTCAGGACCTATTGGGGACGAATTCGCCGCTGTTCTGGCTAAAACGTCCGCTATCTCATTCCCTTGTATACCCTTTGGGCTCGGAACCCACAGTAGTTTGATTTTGTTGAGTTCCCCAAGGGTATTGAAGTTCTCAACGCACTCAAGGTCCAAAGCCGATTATATCTCGAAGAATGATAATGCCTTAAGTGCTACCTGACCATCGCTGAGGAAAAGGATTCTCGTTGCGGTAGTCTCCACCTCAGTATACCTCAGCTTGGTACATTGGTACATTGGTATTTGTCCATTGGTACGGATAGTCTCATCCTGGGACCGAAAATACCTGACCCAATACCTGTGGCATTTTGGAGCCATCTGTTTAACACTGCATGGTAACGACTGATCTATTATTTTCATTGCCCAAATAATAGACATATGAACGATTATAAGAAATGTAAACATAACAAAACTGTCAAAGCTAAACTTCAAAATGGGGGGGGATTGCCAGATGAATGTACGTAACCAATAGTTATTCAAGACACGAACCATCATATCTGTATGGACACGAATTGACATGGCCACTATGAAAATCCCCACACTCACATACGATAAAAGAATCGGTGGTCACATACCACGAGGCTAGAAAAATATTTTTCCTTTTTGGAATTGGACACGGACCGAATCAGCCCTCGCAAAAACGGAAGTAATCCTAACCAAGCAATTTATTAAAGCTGACGACATTGGTTTGGTTAAAGTCAATTCTCAGAGTGAGTATACTTGGGGAATATACTTATCGGCATTGTTCTACCACATTCCTTCTGGCAAATCCCCAACCAAGTTGTTGCCTGTGGAAATAAAGAGTCTGTGGATATAAATTCTGGTATATTCATTTGGCAGCAGTTAGACCACCGTACACCGGTAATCCCAAAATTATCAAACGTAAGTCAACCTCATTATTATCACCAGCCCATTGGAAACGAGCTACCCAACAACAGTTTATCGAAATTCCTGTTTGGACCGCCAAGAAAAGGTCAAGCAAATCACGACCTGTATATACCCTCCATGCAGGAGTCGCTCCCGGTCGTCTTGGTGCAAAGTTCTATCTTAGATTTCCTGTCGAAAACGGTTACTTTGCTAGCAAAATTACGCACCGATTCGCACTACAGGAGCTCTAAAAATGAGGATAACGAAGCAAAGTCGTATTTTTTGCAGAGTTCGTCCTATTCACAGGACCTAAACTTAATGGAAAATATTTGGAATTGGGTATTTTGCAGGTTTACTTGTCAGAAAATCCATGGGATGATTGGCAACTGTTCTTCCCGGCGGATAAAGTGGCAAAAAGCGAGATGTCCTTGAATTTTCAAACCGCCTCTAGGATTCCTTTCCGGGCAGGGCTTTCTTCCATACATTGGAATTAAGGATGTTGTATCCAATACTAAAAGTGTTATATAGTAGAATTAAAATGAATGGTATGCTTTTGTTGGCTCCATCTAGTCCTTTCCTTATGTTAAAGCCACTGTCCCCATTCAAGTGAATCAAAATAATCGATAAGCACAATTTTCGTCGAGTTTGATAAAAACTGGAATGAAATCCAAAGTAGTCAAGATGTTTTCTTCATTTTCACCACTTTCCTTCTTGAGGAAAATATGTGTACCTATTGAAGTTAAGCGGGATCTATATACTTATTAATATTTATTCTGCGCTAATTGTTGTTTCCTTTTAGTATAGTATAGTTTACGAACATTTAAGTAAAATTATTAATTTTTATTTTTAATACTATTGGCAAAACACATTTAAAACAAAAATTCAATCAAATTCAATCTTTTTAATTTTTTTCTTTAATTTCATTATTTTAGATAACACATCAGCGCAGTTGCAGCGGCCGTTGAAGGAAACCACAAGCCCCTTACAACAGCAACTGCGAACAGAAGATTACACTTGGATTGAGTCGAAACAAGTAATGAATGAGAAAATAAAATCACCCTCTGGGCAGGGTGGTGCAGCTGGAGGAGCCGGTGCAGGACCACCGAGCGGACCCGGCGGTACAGCCGGCTCTGGCGGACCTGGTAGTGGTGGTAATGTTGGTCCAGGCTCCGTAGTTCCCGGTGGTCCAGCGACACCCAACTCAACAATAGGCAGTGGACCGCCAGTTGGTGGTCCACCAGCATCAAATAACGGCAGTGATCCACAACAACAAACAGTTCCACATACATATGGACCGCCAGGCGGTGACCCAGCAGCGGCAATATCACATTATCATCTACACCAACAACCGCATCCACAACAACATTTGCCCCATCAACAGGGTGGTCCTGGTGGCCCTGGTGGCCCACAGAATCCCGGAGAACATCCACAAAAAGATGAATATGGACAAAGTCCCTTGGGTGGACCGCCACCGGGTGGACATCATCCCGTTTATGGACGTTATCATCATCCAGATCCAAACATTGATCCCTATCGCTATGGGCATTCTCCCATGCAGCAGCCACCACCCGGTGGTAAGCCGCAACAGCAACCGGGACCACCGACGGGACCTGGAGGCGGTATAGCCTCACCAAGTCGACCACCACAACAACGATATATTCCAGGGCAGCCACCACAAGGTCCTACACCCACATTGAATTCGTTGCTACAATCGTCGCATCCACAGCCACCACCACAACATCGTTACGCAAATAGCTATGATCCACAACAACAGCAACAACAAATTCCACAACAGCAACAACAGGGCGGACCACAGGCTCCACACGGCCCGCCACCGCCACCACATCAACCATATGGAACGCAACAAGGCTGGGCACCACCACCGCGTCCATACAGTCCACAATTGGGGCCCGCACAGGCCTATCGAACACCACCACCGGTAAGTGGAAAGAGAAGCTTTTTATATTTGACATTCAAAACAATTACTCGCTGACTTGTCAATTTCATTTTGTTTATTTGGGCAATTTAGTTTCTTTTAACCATAATTATCATTTACTTGCACACATACAGCTGACAGTGAGTATTTTAGCATTATGTACTTCGACATTGGCATTGATTTTTTTTGTTATCTAAATTTACTCCCTTACCTCCCAATTTGATGATTGGAGGAATTATTTGGCCAGCAGAAAAGCTTACAAATAATAAATTTCATACTTCGTTTGCTGGTGGGATACGAAGTGCTGTAAAAATATGTCTTTTACATTTAACATTATTTAATTAGTGAGCTGGTGAAGTTCGTGCGTAAAGAGTGTCATTATGCCACCTTTAGTAATTGTGCATTTGTATGTTTTGTTTAGATAAACATTGCAACTAGAATGCAAAGAAAAATCTGACTCTGAAGGTGGAGCAATAATACCAAATACCAAAAGTAAACAATCTCTGGCTTATCAATGCCGGAAAGTCGCCGGCAAATATAGAAATATCTTCACACACCAACAAACAACTGCATATATGTGCATACATACATATGTATGTATGTATGTAAAATGTACTTAGCTAACCGGCTGATGGTGTTTCTAGTTGGGGTATCCCAATCGCTTACTCATGCCAAAGAAGCAAATTGAATGTATAAACAGTCATGCACATACATACATACTTACAAACGTACAAAGTACGCCGAGTTCATACCCTCGCGTTTCATTCATTCATACATTCACTCATTCGTTCGAGTAAAATTTGCCGCCTTAAATCATCAGCAAGGGCAACACGGCAGCTACAACAACAACAACGGGCATGAAAAAATAATCACAATCAAAAAAAAAAAAGAGCAGAAAAAAGTATTTATAATACGGACAGAAATCAAAAGGAACAAAAACAACCGATGCACATACATACATACATATGTATGTACTTTTCATACAGTATGAAAATTTGTATTACGTGGGTACTAGTTGGGACGGACATAATCGTTCAAATACAATTACCAACAGAAGCGTATGCACAAACGCGTGCCATGTTGCTCTGCACGGTCGACGCGTCACCTTGCCTACAAATCAACCAACATACAGACTGTCTGATATAGCACAATCTTGTCTACGTAATTATGTATGAATGAGAATGTAGCTACGTATGTATGTATGTATGTAGTAGGTACATGCATTTGTACATATGTATGTTTGTTGTAGACGTAGGCACTTGCTATGTGCTACTAAAAGTGGTGTTGTTTTTGTTGTTGTGTCATACTCTGTATGCACAGCTCTTTGCCACCGTAAATATCTATGTACATACATACATACATAGATATGTACATATGCACAAAAGTGTGTCAATAAATGTTTGTCGTTTTCATGAATGAAATATAATAAAAAAAAGCATCAACCGGCGCAGCAGCATCTTTTAACCAACAACAACAATAAGAACACGAGGACCATCGCATCTAAAGATCACAACACAAAATGTGAAATACATACATACATACATAAAATCTTTAAGGTTCAGGTTAAGTTGAGTGTGTCAGTTAGCAGTAACCAGGCCATGAAGTTTACCGACATCCCAAGCGCATCAGTTCAATTTCAGGCACGACTTAAAGGGATACAAAGAAGGTAAAAATATATGCCATGCCATTTGGCAAGCGGTTGAGGAGGTGGATAACAGTTTGTTTTGGCTGGATAGCGTGCTGGCTCACCACCGGCTGACTGTGTGACGACTCCTTGTTTGTATGACGACGATGAATGCTTTGCTACACTTGTTGTTTCTCGTTAGACTGGCATTGTGTTTGGTTACTACGCGCACAGACAGACAAATATATCTACTGATTTGGCGGACATTTGTTAGTTTCTGTTGATAAAAAAGCAAGTCTCCGCGCGTGAACGTTTCATTGGAACCAGCTGCTGGCACATTTTCTATTGTTTTCTTTGAAATTAAAGTTGGCATTGGTAATATGGAGGAGAAATCTTCAAGAATTTCGCTAAGTTTTGGTTTTCGAGTTTACGTTGTTGTAATTCAAATTTTAGTTTTAATGCTTTTTTCACCTAGGATATACACAGCTTACATATGTATTTTGAGGTTAGTTAGTCAATAGTCAAATTTGATAAGGGATTACGGAAATTCGTTCCAAAAATACATCTTATGCCTAATTTCCACTAGACATGGAAATAGCGAAAAATGTGTGCCATTCAAAGAATGTGGAAACTAATTTAATGCAAATTTTTCTTGACGTGATGGCAGAGGTATTTTTTAATTGCCAAATTTGTCATTAAAATTTGTGCCTAGTCGAAATGCGGCAATTTCAAATATGCTTATTTTATAAACTATAAAAGCCACAAAAACAATGCATCAGCTGTTTTGTTACTGGCACATACATACATAGTTACTAATACATACTTTCAAGGTCAGCTTTCATTATTGCTAGTCTCTTGCAAGTTTTGGTGAACGAAAGCGTTAACCAGTGAAATTCCAGTAAACAAATTTCTGGTTTTTACTAGATAGCGTGCAAAAAAAAAAAACACAACTACTGGTTCCCTACCAATTGACACTTTTACAGATTCATAAGTAATTATTATTATTGTTTTTTTTTTTTTTTTAACAAAACCCATAATGACAACTCAGTTTGACACCGTCTTTGCAGTTTTCGTCGTTATTACATGTCTACATAGCTACTTAGAAGGTCAATAAACTACTGACAAAGCGTAAAAAGTAGAGGCAAATTATTTGTTACTACAGCTCTAAGGCTTATACTACACGTAGTATTTAAAATTAAATAAGCGTAGAACTATACAGACCTGCAAAGGTGAGAAGCAAACGGAAATTCTAAATTGTGTAAAAGCGCACTTAAACCACTTGCCAACACATTGCCACACCATAATTCACCGACTCTGTTTAGATGTACATAAAAACATACATATGTATGTAGTCGGCCACCCGGTCGGACTTTTGTTGGTTTCCAAAATGTACTTATAGCACGGTTCTTTTTCCACTCAGAAGTAGTTCCGAAAACATGAAGTCATTAATTCGCTTTTATACAGGCGTAAAACGCAGCAAACACGATTCTTTAAGAAGGCAATTTTGCATGAGGTGGTTTTAGGTTGGTTTAGAGAGCTTTGTAGACTTTAGCACGCGTTTTTTAGCAACTTCAAACTTGCACTTGCACTACTTAGGATTAAAAAGAAAAAAAAAACTAAATAAAAAGTTGCAAATTAGAACGCAAATTTTTTGAATTTTCTTGAGTTTTGCCCAAAGTTTAGAGATTTTATTTTTATGGTTTTTATTTTAGTATGAACGATATTTTTATAAAAAATTGGCGAAAATAAATTAGAATAAACAATTTTGCATGCATTGCGATAAATACTCTGTGCCAATACTTTTGTCCGGCACTGTATATACATATGTATTGAACTGGTATCTAAAAAAAATGCGACTTTGCTCTTTTGTGCTGTTTTGGCTTCGCGGCTTTGTCTGCATCAACCACTGGGCACCGAACGTAACAAAAAAAAAAAAAAAAAAGCCAAGACCAGACAGCCGGTCGCGTGGCATACTTTTTATTATGATGATAATACATCATTGAGGGTTCGAGTAATAATTGTCTTCGTTTCTGTGTCTGTTATTGTCTTTTTTTTTGTTTTCTTTCAAACTCATTCACATACATGCATACTATTTATGTACATAAATCCAAAGGAAATGAGTGATCATACACACTTGCATATAATCAACTTTCAAAAAGAATATATATATATATGTATTTACATAACACATTTTATACAAAAAATAATAATTAAAAAATGTACAACATCTCCAGCGCGCTATGTCACTTGCAAAGGCAGGCCTCTCCTCCCAAACAGCTGTGTTATGGCACAAGCCAAAAAATTGGAAAAACATTGTTGCACATAATAAAATTTAACTAGCACGGTCGACATTACACAAATAAATTTGATGGGGTGAATACAAAGTTGCATCAAAAAAAAAAAAAAACAAGGTGATGAACGCACATAAAGTTTTTCTTGCTTTCGAGATATTTGTTTACTTTTTCCGTGTAGTTTTTGTTTTTGATTTGCTATACCGGCGTTATTGCTATTAATAGGTACTCGTCGGTAGTTGCTGCCGCTGCGCTTTAATATTGTAAATTGGTGGGGGTTTGGATTGTGCGAGGTGGTCGGGTGCGGATTTTTATTACCAGTAGTAGGTATGTATGTATGTACAAGTAGTCTCAATTTTTGAAATGTCTCTCGCTCGCCACATTTCTTTCGATTACTTTAAATTATCACGTTTTTCTTTTACTCGCTTCTTTGTAATTATGAAGGCTTCAGTTTTATTAGTTATTCGTTTTTAATTAAATGCTAACATGCTCGTGACGTTTTCGCTGACAGCATTTACGCGATTTTCAGCTATAACAATAAGTTTGCGATAAATATATTTTAATTATTATTTTTTATTTTATTTTTATTTTTTATTTTTTGCTTCATTTTTATTTTTATTTTATTTTTTTAAATCAGCAAAATAATGCCAGGTTTGTGTGCATCTCTTGAATTGGAAAGAAGAACTAAAACGTTTGCGTGTGTGGGCGGTGCGGTGCGCGCAATCAAGTCTGCTCGCTCCATGGCGAAGGAGGTGAGAAAAGTGGGGAAGAGTACAGATACTACCTCCGTACCGTCAATTCATTTCAAGTTTTCTTGTCTCTTTGGATCATTTCATTGTTTCCCATTTAAAGAACCAAGAATTAGAATTCAATAAAAGTTGACGCGTCTGAAAGCAAATAGAAAACACAAAAGAGAATGCGAAAAAATTGCCTTCAAGACTTGACGTGTCTGAAAGGGGACTAATGCCTGAATGTCAACAACAACTGGATTTGTCTTCTACTACTCGCCGCCCATTGTCTAAACGCCCTTGTTAGTTTACTGAAAACTTTGTTGAAAAACTTCCAATTTCAATTGCTTTTTCTTGAACGTTCACACCTTTCACGTAAATTTATTTAAACAAATTGAGTAAAAGGCCTGAAATTAAAAAAAAAAGTAT